CCTCTCGAATGATGAAGAGTAGATCTCGACAAAAAAGGGTGTAATGCCGTATGACTATATCGATTCTTTCAAAAAATTCAATGAAGATTGTTTACCCCCTATCGAAACCTTTTACAACAAATTGGAGGGAAAACCGTGTCCTAGGAGATCTTACTTACGTGCCAAGCTGATATGGGCTACTTTTAATATAAACACATTGGGAAAATATACGGATCTGTATTTGAAGACGGATGTTATGCTTCTGGCTACGTCTTCGAGCAGTTCCGCTCAAGTTGTCATAAAACTTACGGTTTGGATCCTGCCCATTATTTCACTCTGCCTGGCTATACATGGGATGCTATGTTATTCAAAACGAAACAGCAACTTGAATTTCTCACCGATGTAGATCAGTCGATGTTTTTCGAAAAGGGAACAAGAGGTCTACTGAGTCAAGTTTGCTCCAAGCGAAGAGTCACAGCTGATAACAAATACATGGGTGACAATAATGATTAAGCCAAAGCTGACTCATACCTAATGTATTTCGATGTTAATAATCAATATGGTTGGGCTATGTCTCAATATCTTCCATACGGCTGGTTTGAGTGGATGGACACCAACATTGATATCACAACTGTGCCTGATGATGTCTCGGAAGGTTATATACTAGAAGTTGATATGGAGTATCCAAACAACCTTCACAATATGCATAAGGATTTACCGTTCTGACCCGATCATGTGGATCCTAAGACAAAAAAATCTCGAACTGAAAGTACATCGGATGTGAAACAATTTAAATTGATGGCTACTCTACAGTCGAAGAAAAAGTATGTGAATCATTACAGAAATTTCAAGCAGGGCTTAGAACATGGTTTCATTTTGAACAAGATTCATCGTGTTCTAAAGTTCAAGCAGTCCACATGGTTGAAGCCCTACATAGACTTGAACACACGTTTGCGAAATGCTGTCTTGGAATGTTTTCTTACAAGATTCTCTGTATTTGAGATCAAAAATTAGTCTAATGAAGCGTTTTTGCCTTATGAAGATTCTATTTATTTCTGATGAGTGTCCCCAAATGGAAATATTTATATCAAGCTTAGAATACACTAGACCATAGTATATATCCAAGAGATTAGGTCTCAAAAAATTTAATTTCATTGTTAGGAAGGCAAAATACGTTTTTTAGAGAAGTGCACAAGTATTCGATGTGATTATTGAAAGACAATTCATTGTGAAACCTAGATTTATTTGGAGAGGGCGCTGAAACTTACTTGAAAACTGGATGAATGTTGTTTTATTTTCATTATTTATTAAATGATTGTTTCTACACCAACATTCGAATTCATTGATTACTAGTTTCGTTTTATTTTCAATTTCATTTAGATCTAGGGACGTCACAATGTTGTGTCATCGGCATACATGAAAACTCAACCCTCGAGAAAATCCTAGTATTTAGTTTCAAGGTTAAACCAAACTTCACTATCAGATTTTGCCAATGTGTGAAAAAAAAGAGACCAAAGTGAGGCGATACCCATGTTTCAGTTGAAGTTACGTCAATATCATCTACTATGTTGCTTCAAATTGTAATGTAATGTAATTATATTTAAAAAAAAAAATAGTGTAGCATTTTGAATCATCATTAAATATGTGGTACCTAGCTCATGTTAGACATGCATATGCGTGAGAAATGTCAGTCTGTTCTCCTGTAAAATGTTATGTGTTATTACCGTTGAACGGTTGCTGCTGTGACGTCACACCACTACTAACTTGGTGGGCTCACACCGATGGAACATTCATTACATGAAGGATCTTCGAAGTGTGCAGACGTATGTTTGTACATAGGCAAGCACATGATGAAATCCTGTACCGTGCATTCTCACACACACACACCAATCAAATGTAATTACGTCACTATGTCACACACACAAAATCTCATATGAAAAAAAAATCTGAACGATCCATCCACCAGACCCTTCAAGGTCACATCGCCTTGATGTTACTGAACAACAAAAAAAAAGCAATTAATACGTCATAGTGGTGGGGGGAGGCCCAGAACCGGGTGTAATCTGTGATATACACATACCATCTATGCACCAGACATATTTTTCAAGGTCATATGCACCATACATATTTTTCCAGGTCGCATGCACCAGACATATTTTTCAAGGTCACACGGATGAGGATGGAAATGACGTGTGTACCATGGCTATTTCGAAGTTGGACAAGTATTTCTCACCCAAACAGAGCAAAGTTTATGAAAAACATTTGTTGAAACTACTTAAATAGGAAATTGAAGAGAAATTTGAAAAATTCTCACCAATTCAATAATTTGGAGATACAGCTTATTGACCAAATAACGAAAAAATGTTGACCTGCAGATTAGAGAAAGAAGATTTTGGCTGCGGGAATTGCAATTACCTTGAGTACGATCATCGCTGAAGCGTATTCATTGGAAGTCACCGAGAGATAATCAGAATTTAAGGATCAACCTGCTACAAGTTCTACGAGCAATTAACATTATGGCGTCATACATTATTGAAAGATACACAAAAAAATACTTTCTATGTGGTCTGGAAGAAAGAAAAGGCAACCACCATAAATGCATTGCAAGAAATGCAATCTATCGGCGATGTAATCGAAAGGGGCATTTTGCTAAATATTGTTCTAGCAAAAGAACGTTTCCTGCTTCAATAGGTGAACCCGAAGACAAAACAATCGGTGTCAAGCAAAAGGTTCAGACCATCCATTTCAGCAGAAGTCGACTGTGTCGAAAAGAAGAAAGTGTTTCATATTGATAACGATGATTCAGTTGAATGCGAGGTAGGTGGGTGGAAGAGTAAAAATATTAATAGACTCGGGAAGTAGGTAAATGTAATATTTCTGAGAAAGCTTAGGAACAGCTGAAGAAATCGGAGTTGAAGTGTGGGACCAAATGCAGAATTCAAACAAGATTATTTACGCTTATGGCGGCTCGAAGGGTCCTTAACAAATTATAGGACCATTTGAGTTAGTTATTCAAATACTTGACAAAAAAGAGATTGTAACTTTTTATGTAATCAAAGATGGCAAACGAAACTTATGGAAAAACACACAGCGATTTCTTAAAATGTTCCCATAATTGAGTATCAACAATGTAACTGCGTTATCATCATTTCAAAAAAGTTGAGTATGTTGTCAAAACAAAAGTTCAACAGATCTGGAAAAACGTTATTGTCAAACTGAAAAGGAAGCATTGGTCTTGGTTTGGGCAGTAGAACACTTCAAAATATATCTAGATGGAAAGGAATCGTTCGAATACTCATAGTCGATCACAAACCATTAGAAGTGATATTTGGACCATGGTCACATTTATGCGCGGTGAGTTTTACGAATGTAGTCTTTTAGGTATCGAGTTGTATTTCGGCCTAGTAAAACAAAAATAGCTGGCCCATTGTCACGGTTTTGTCAAACTAATACAAGTTACTTATCCCTTCGAACCATATGATTTTTTTTCATCAACTCGTTGAGTACGCACGACCAGTAGCTATTACATTGAATGAAATTCGAGAAACATTGGAATGTGGTGAAGAAATTTACAAATTGAAAGATGGAATACAAAATAATATTTGGGATGAATCTATGAAATACTGCGAAGAATTCAAAGTAGAGTTTTGTATTAGCAGTAGTATTTTATTACGAGGCACCAAAATTGTCATACCACTTGAATCAAGGCAATGCGTGTTGAATTCTGCGCATGAAGGAGATCCTGGAATGGTTGCAGTGCAAGGCAGACTCAGAACGAAGGAATGGTAGCCAAAAATCGATGAACATGTAGAAAAATTTGTGAAATCATGTAAGGCCTGCACTTTGGTTTCTAATTCAAACATACCACAACCTATGAAGAGAAGAGAAATTGCCTATGGGACCATCGGTAGATGTAGCTATCGACTTTAATAGACCTTTACCAAGTGGAGATTACCTTTTGTTATTATCGATTATTCTAGTCGATATAAAGAAATCAAAATAATGAAAATCATTTCTTCATCGAATACTATCAAAGCACTCAAGGAAGTATTTTCGAGATTGAGTTTTCCTGTTTCTTTAACATTACATAATGGAAAAAAGTTTTTCAGAGAAGAAATGAATACGTTCTACAACGAAAATGCTATAAAAATTCATCATACAATACCATATTGGCCTCAAATGAATGGTGAAGTGGAACGCCAAAACAGAGCGAGATATATTCAAAATATTGAAGATCTGCCAGGGACTTTAAAACAACTGGCAACTGGAATTATGGGATTTCCAGATTATGTACAACAGTACACCCCATACGGTTACTGACAAAACGCCTTGTGAGATATTTCATAAAAGACAATTCAGTAATATGATTCCGAGTAAATTTTTAAATATAGATCACCAACTTATAGACTAACAAACTAGAGACAGAGATTTAAAAAGAAAAGAGTAAAGAATATGGTGACAGGTAAAGAAGAGCTACGGAAAATATAGATATCAATGTATAGGTGACAAGGTATATCAGAAAAATTTGACGAAGGCAAACAATACATATGGTAGTAAGCAAACAAGGAGGTGATGTGGTTATTAGAGAAGATGATTCGGGACATGAGTACAGAAGAAATGTTTTCCACCTTAAGAGAGTAGAAAGAAAATGGAAGGTATGTGTTAGGAATCACACGTTAAAAGGTAAGACCTCGTTAGTCCTTAGCTCGCTTAGAAGTTTCTCAACTTCTGAGAGTTGTCGTTCGTAAGGGGGCGGCAGCTGATTAACGGAAAACAGATTTTAAAACAGATTTTAAAACAGTATAACTGCGCACCTCAGGGTTCCGTTAAATCAAACAAAGACTGACATAAACCCTTCACATTTCAAGTCAAGTATTTATATTCCCTCGATTACATTTGCAATATTTGAATCTTTTATTTGCAGGATTTTTAGGAACTACGTGGGTTCAAGATGTACCATTAATTATATTTATCTACGATTATATGGATGTCTATGGTCACTTGCAGTAAAAAAAGTAAAAATGAAATATAAGGAAGAAGACGAAGCGGTTACGTGTACAGGTTAGACGATGTAACTTTATTTTCAAATTCTTTTTGGGTTTTTCAAAATTTAGATATCGACAAAACATTGGAACTCAACGGAAATATCAAAAAATGGGTCAGGCCGTTAGCAGAAGCTTTGACATTTCTTCCAATGAATACTGTTTAAGATTCATAGGAAAAGAAACCATAGTAGCCAATGATCCCTTCTGGAATCGTTTTTTAGCCTTCAATATCACCCCACCAATGACAATGTAAGTAAATATATGAAACCGATAACGTTGAGGTGAAAGAAACTAATTTTCAGAAACGAACAGCTAGCTATCGAATCAAAAATCGAACCTTTATGTCAGGAGCTGTTGAAGAATAATTTGAGTTCTGGAAACTTCAATTCCCTTATTCAATGTTTCCTCACAAAGTCAACTGAGTTATTATCAGCTACAAATTCTAATGCGTAAGATAGTTCATGAAAAATTATGTTTTCTTTCAACAATGTATTTCTAGGGAGCTTTTTAACTGGCAACTTTTCAACACCATCTTTACGATACGTTGCATTTTAAAGTTCATGACCGAAATTCTTCCTGAAGAAGAACTGATGAAACATATTGAGTTTAAGGGAAGTGGGAACTATGTAGAGTCCTTTATTGGCACATTGGTGGGCATAATAGTAGATGTACCAGTCGAAGACTCGACTTATCTCATTCATTTGGAAGCTTTGACTTGTTTATTGGTGTGCCTGTCTGTTCAGTTTCACTCTGGTGGCAGATCAGATCAAAGTATGATATACAGACTCATCATGAGGGGCAAGCATGTTATACATGCCCCGGTTTTGGTGAAAAGTTTGCTGACAAATTTTATCAGCCAAGGGAAGTTACCCCCTGGATATGGTGGGAATCATGGCCACAGCATAGTACTAGGTGAGATTTTGGTAAAACTTCAATATCTAAGTTCTCTCCAAAACATGTGAATATTTTTCATTATTGTTACTTATACTGCATTATTGGTATAATTTTGGATAGGCTGCACCCTGTGATTTGGAAAAAATTTTTGATGCACTCACATGTTTTGGCTTCTAGATTACGATTCCAAAAGAAAAAATCTACTCACTCCAGAGTTACAAAAATTGCAGCATTGCTGCCTTCTTTTTTCATAATACAAACTATAATAAATATAGTTTAAAAGACTAAAAAACACGCTTTAAAAGAACATCGAACTAAAAAGTTGAAAATATTTTTTTAAATAAGCTCAAAACAATAACGAACAAAAAATACTAGTATTATTGTAAAAAAAGCGATGGACGCTTGATATACAAAAAATATGGCACAAAACGCCCCCGCTTTTTTCATAATAATATTAGTGTTTTTCATTTGTTATTGTTTGAAGCTTATTTTTAACTTTTTTGTTCGCTGTTTTTTAAAAGTGTGTTTTTTAGTTTTTTTAAAGTATATTAATTTTTCATTTTTTAGTTTCGTATGCTATAAAAGCGTGTTTTTTAGTCTTTTTAAACTATATTTGTTTCATCTAAACTTTGGGATCAATCAGTTGTATACTGTTTAAAAAAATGACCGTTGATATTTTCCGATTCTGGAGAGGGAGCCTGAAAATCAGCTACCACGTTCAAGGAAGGTAACAGGCGCCCAAAGGAGGGTTACAAATGAGGCAGCAGGCGCGCGAGTTAATTGAAAAAAAAATACTTTTTTCAAATGAAGAAATACATGTAAAGTGAGTTCGAATTATAACAAGGAGGTTACGTACAGCGCCATTTGCCCGCGAATAGATCAAGTAATAACATCGATACATCAAGGAGGTTACGTACAGCCCCATCTGCCCGCGAATAGATCAAGCAATAATGTTGATAATTCTGTCAAATACAGATACCGAGCTTGAGAGTTATAAACAAACATACATACATACAAGTGAAGCTAATAAAAGAGTGTTAAAAAACAAGTATTTATTCACGTCTTATTTCACCTCCTTCGATACTTTTCAGTTTAATAATCAACATTTTTTCTATAAAAAACTTGATAAATTTCAAATCCAAGTCAAGTGCTTTTTGTTTGCATTGTTGATATTTTCAATTATTTTTTGACACTATATTAAGTACTTGTTAGATTAGATAAGATTTTTTATTGGTCAGGTTATTACACCTTAGTGCTATGATAAGTCAATAATGTATAAAATAAATGTAAATTACAATTAAATTTACCAAAAAGAAGTAGGTAGTACATAAATATTGTATATGATACAAGCACAAAGTAAAGTAAATAAATATATAAATGTAAAAATAAAGATACATAGAGACAGTACCTACAATGACGATGGTCACTGTAAAGCTGAAGTCAGACGCATCATAGTAAGCATTCTCTGGAGATGTTGAGTTACATCTTGTTATTTCTAGTCTTTGGTTTGATGCTTTTATATTATCCTTGTTCCTAGTATTATATGAATGGTTGTTTCCGTTTGAAGTAAACTTTTGTAAATTTTCTTGAATATGTATCAAATTGCAGTATATTACACATGATGGTAGAGTTAATAAGCCAATTCTTACAGCTCTCTATTTGACATATTCCAGCCAAAGCTCTGATTTTTTTTTTATTTTAAATATTCTCGAGATATGAACAGATGTGCCCAGTTTATCAATCCATAAATTAAGGAACTATGAAACATTGCATGATGAGCGGTATGGGCACCTTCATTACCGACTTTATTTTTTATCTGCCTGATTGCATACCCTTGCATGATAGATTTTTTGCTAGTTTGTCAATATGGGGTTTCCAAGTTAACTTTGAATCAATTGTTATACCACGACATTTCACATTATTTGAGAGATTATGAGACAGCGAGAACATAACTGTTTTTGTCTTGCTTTTATTCATACATAGGCTATTCGCCTTAAACCAGTCCATAGCTTCTTGAATAACTCACTTTTCTATTTCTGATGACTTCAAAATTTTTTTTCTGAATGGCGTAGGAAGTGTCATCGGCGAATAGCATTGTAAACTTTGTCATTGAATTTAGTAGGTCATTAATATAAATCAAGAAAAGTAGTGGCCCAAGCACACTACCTTGTGGAACACCATTCAATATTGTTTGTAAGCTACTGATTTCTCCATTATATGATACACATTGCTTTCTCTCATTTAGATATGATGCTAATGTGTGCTATGCCTACAAATCCATAGTATCTCAGTTTTTCTAATAGAATGTCAGTAGAGACGCAGTCGAACGCCTTGCTCAGATTGAGGAATATGCCAAGTGTTGATTCTTTGTTTTCGAAACCTTCAGTTATGAAGTCGACTAATTCAAGCACTGCTTTCGACGTGCTTCTTCCTTTCCTGAAGCCAAACTGTCTATCTGTCAAGATATTTGTGTACTCTAAATAATTTATCACTCTTATTGCTATCATTTTTTCTACAATTTTTGCAATTACTGGAAGTAGTGCAATTGGTCTGTAGTTTGATGGAAGATTGATATCACCACTTTTAAAGACCGGAATTATCTTTACACAATTTTTAGTTTTGATGGAAATACACCAAATTTCAGAATCAAGTTAACAATACATTTAATTGGTCGTAGTAGCACAGATAGATTTTTTGTACATAACCACTGAGTGATTGTAAATATCAAGCGAGCCCGAGTTTTTTAGGGATTTGATGACGTCATTCACTTCATTCATTTAGTTTTTGCTATCAGAAAAAATTAAAAAATAGTAAATCAAAGTGAGGCACTTGCAACATATCATTCACTTTTTCATTCAGTCCTTAGGTATGGTATAATCAATTGGAATAATGCATTAAATGTACATCTTAATAGAATATTTGCCATTCAAATCTTCATCTGCAGTAAGAAGCATAATCTCTGCCAATTATGATGAAAAGTGTCGACCAATATTTGTAAAACTTAAAATAATGACCTAATAGGTTGAAAAGAACAGATAATATAGGAATTAAGCTGTTATTATCTTATCTGTCGAATTTCGTAACTTTCCATTTGGAAGATTCAAAAACTTATTGAAGAAAATATTAACCAAACATCCTTTATATGAAATTGATCAAACTCAAACCTATTTTAGAAATTGTATTGACGTGTCTAAAAACTGTGTGTTTCTTGAGACTAATAGAATTATCATTATTACCTCTGCAGTATCAGTTCGATAGAAATGCATTGAGTTTTCAGCATTGCATGGAACTTGGTGGAGATAGTTTGAGAATGAATTGGGTGTGCTCATTTCATTATTCATATCCAGGGCTACATTTATAAAAGTCATTGAACTGATCTGATGTAAGACAAGAAGAGCTATTAGTGTGATTATTACTACCTATGTTTTTATTAATAAGCTGCCAGATTGTTTTTTGTTTATTGTTCGAATCGTTCAGTTTTTTTATCGCCTTTTTTCTCTTCATTTTCATAAGTAATTGTTCGTATTTATATTTTTTTGATTTAAATTCTGATTTGATTTTCTCACTGTTGTTAAAAAGTTTCAATTAATCGTTCAATTTCTGAATTTCATTTTTTGCAGCAATTACTTCTGGATATGAATAAATGCTAGGGTCACGCTTAGAATTCATTCTGACTTTCATGGGAGGAAATGATACTTCCATATAGTAGGTCAGGGTATTATAGTGAACTTCAATCATCTCGTTTATCTCATGTTGTTTAAATAGTTCAATCCAATTTTTTGTTGATAATTTATCAAAGAATAATGTTTTGTTTGCAACATTTTTATCCAAAATTATTTTATATTTTTGTAGAATCTCTCGTTCTGTGTTAATACTTATAATTTGAGAATAATGGTCAGATAGATGAAAGTCAGAATCTTTTGCTGCCTCTACATCAAAATTTGTGAGCATATTGTGGATGCATGATTTTGAATTACCATAAATTTTAGTGTAGCCCAAAATTCGTTTGGATAAGCCAAAAGATGAGAATATTTCTATCATATCTTGACTGTGTTTAGAATCTGTAGCGAAATCAATATTGAAGTCACCACCAATGACTAGATTGAAAGTTCTAAATTTTTCTGATAATATTAGAAGCATGGTAGAGATATTATCCTTGAAAATATTTATATCTCCACATGAAGAGCGATAGATAGATACGACAATGCATCTTTGTTTTAATAGCTTAATGCAGCAAATTTTAATGTGCTTTTCCATGTTATATTTATTCAAAGCATCAATTATTTCGAACAAAATATCATTTCTAATCAAAATACACACCCCTTCGTGAATGTATGTGTGATTGAAAAGGAACTAGCTAATATATAATTTTCCATTTTATAAAAAAGTGTTTCATCACTACTCAGCCAGTGCTCACTTAGTAGTACAATGCCAAAATGATGTTGCAGTACAATTACTTCAAGTGAGTTCAGCTTATTTCTGAGACATTGTATATTAACATGCATTATCTCAAGTCGAGTTTCCGTTTTCCTAATTCTAAAAAAGTTGTATGGGGATTCGTTACTTTAAGAAGAAACTCCATTAATATTCACTAAATTAAGTGAATAATGGATTTAAGAAAGAAAGAAAGAAAGAAAGAAATTAACATTGGTTTGTATGCCAAGTGACTAGGCATTGCAGAATAATTTGAATGGTTTAATTTTGTAGATAATATAATTAAAATCATATGAATATTGAATAACTTATTAGTCGGTGGCAGTTACCAACAAATTTTTGTTTGAAATGTCACTAGTATACAACCTTAAAATAGGGAAATGTTACCAGAAAATATTGTTGAGTCAAGTTTTTTATAGAAAAAATGTTGATTATCAAACTGGAAAGTGAGAAAGTATGTGAAATAAAATGTGAAGGTGATGAGGTGAATAAAAGCTTGTGTTTTTTAATAGGTTGTATTGTGCAAAAAGAAGGCTGAAAATTTGCCATTTCAATAATAATAATAAATTTATTAATTCCAAGAA